TATGAAACTAATGAATGGAGAAACATCCGAACGAGCGCGGGGTGATTATGTTTCGTGACTGGCCACAACGCGTTCGATCGGAGCTATCGACATTCATCAGTTCATCACATCCTTACCACACTCCATTGTTCCTGTTTGATGTTTGAATGTCGTAGCCCTCGATCTGCCCAAAGTATGATTGATCGAAACACGCGGCGACAGAGATACAATAGATGGATAGATGGACAACAGATTACAGTTCTTCGTTAGAGCGTACGCAATCGCCGGATATTACGCACGCACGTCGCTCAACGCTAGAATACAGCAGGAGTACCCTCGGGATCCAAAACAATTCATTCAACCATGGCTGCACACCTTGGCGACAACCTCCGCGCGTTCAATCGGCGAAACAACACACACGCACACGAACAGACACACGCACACACACACACACATACACGCGCACACACGCCGCGTACACAAACACGCCCCTCACGTAGAGACATTACATACGCAAACCCGAAAAAAAAAACACTCTAACACACACTCAACCGCACGCGCACATGCAAACACACACTCGTCACGCACAAACAAACACAAACACAACCGCACGCGCACATGCAAACACACACTCGTCACGCACAAGCAAACACAAACACAACCGCACGCGCACATGCAAACACATACTCGTCCAAATAGCGTTGACGTGTCAGCAGAAAAGCCGCCCACAAGCACTCATAGAAACACACACGTCCCGGGTTCGTGCGCACTCACCTTGTGAGAGTGTCGAGTGGAGATGTGTGCGGTTCCCGACGTTGATCGAGACAGGAATGCGCCGACCTTGTGCTGTGCGCTTTGTGTTGGCGATGGTAATGCGTAGAGCATCGGATGCGCTAATCCCGAATCGAGATGTCGTTGTTGAGTCGACGGGATGTCGACGCGCGCCGTCGAAGATGACGCGGGCAGCGACTAGGGAGGTGGAGGGAGATGCGTCGTAGAAAAGGTAGCGACCACGGTTTAGAACGGCTGTCCAGTCGCTTCGCTACCTATGGTGCTCCAGCCGTGCGGGGTGATGGTGTTGACGACAGTGGTGGTGCGAGGCGTCCGTCCGACAGCATCTCCCCAGCAAAAAACGCAGAAAGCGGCGTTCACGCCCCGGGCACCGCTCGTATTTGTAGGCGCGCGTGGGTCGGGTCCCCTTCGGGTCTTCCATTTCGGAGTGCCTCGCAGGGTCCGTTTGACGCCGCGAAAGGTTGGCCACATGTCGGTCCGCGCATCGAACGGTGGCCACACGTCAAGGGGGGACGCGGTGCGCGCGACATGGCAAAAAAGTCCCTGCGAACAGGGCCTTCCCGGGCATCATGGAAAAGGGCCGTCGTTCCTGGCCCTTTGCGTTCGTGTGTTCGCATTCGTGGGCCCCGCCAAAGGGGTTTTCGGGCCGCACGGGGGGTGGGGCGGGGGTGTGTTTTTCGGTATGCGTGTGGAGGGTTTTGGGGGGTGAGGCGGTTGGGCCCGGTTTTCCGCAGTGCACATTGCGAAGTCGCATTCTGGCCGTCTGATTTGCGGACCGGACGGCCATA